TATTCAAGGAACGAGGACTTCAAAAAATATTGCATCTTCCTTTATTCAAGGAACGATGATTTCAAGAGTTCGCCTATTCCTTTATTCAATGATGCCTCTGATAGTAAGAAATTCGCGAGCTTGGGGTTGTCTTCAAAGATATGAGATCTTACAAGCTAGCCCCAATCATTATATGCCTTAAAGTTTGCCTTGAGCAATTGAGACGACCAATTGAGCCTTAAAAGAATAGAAATTCATGCTAAATATTTCACAAGACACTTGGTGTGCCCAAGCTGTAGTTCGTAGCCTCAATAGGTTACTAAAGGGGCAGTTGAAGCACAATCTGTACATTCTCAAATTTCTTGTTGGGGCATCAACTCAATAAAAGATTAATCTCCAAGTAGGCAAGATTAAAATATACAATTCAATCTGAATAACTCCAATTAAACCATGTAAAAATTTTACCAACTGATGATTGAGATGGAGCAAATGTGGTGCAGGCCATAGTTTTAATCTGTGTTGGTGGCATGAGTTCAGGTCCATTTAGGATATCAAACCAACGTAGGCCCTCACTAAATCAATGTAAAATTCTTGATTATATGGAAAATAAAGACATGGTTCAATGAAGATGTAATATATATCAAATGGACATGATGAAACCAAAATGGTGCTTGCCACTATTTATAATTGTTCATGTCTTCATGCCAATGAAATTCAATAGAATCACCATGTAAGACAATAGATAGGCTGCTTTAGGAACTTGCTGGAAGTAACTCGTTGACTTGGAATGTGTGGGCTGAAGTGTAGAACCAAGGGCAGCCCAAATGGATTTTTTTTTTTTTTTTTTTTAAAATGTGAGGCCCGAAAGAGAAATAATAGCAGCCCAATTATATCTATAAATGTATGTGGGAATTAATTGCAATAGCCCAACAATAATCCATGCAATGCTAAAATGGGCCACAACAAGATAAACTCTAGGGCCAATTCACTTAAAAAACAATGGCTAATCCATCCCGTAGATAAGCGTACGCAGGAAGAAAGAGGAAGCACACTGTCCAACCAGTCTAGGCACTATAGCTACTGAGAAAAAGAGAGTCACTTCCACATTAATGCTTGACATACCTCTGTAGCGACCGCCAAAACAAATGAACAAACCGGTCTATGGGGAAGAGCATATTCACATTGCTGAAGCTTTTATATGGCTGAAAATATTTTGTCCACCGTCGCCGGAAGGGGCCGCCGAAGGAAGAGTTTAATCATATTTTTAGCTGTGGTTGGAGCAATCACTTTCGCCCAAGTAACCGTTCGAACATCGTTTCAAGGCCGAATATTTTTCCAGAAGTTCCTGCAAAATTCTTTGTTCAAGAATGAATAATACTTGCAACACTTTCAGATTTTTGGATAGCTGCGTGAGTGATGGGTTTCACTCTTTCTTTGAGGCGACAATCAAAGAATATTTATCCTCCAAGCTTGATTTTCTGAATCTCTAAGAAGAAGCAGGACCATAAATTTAGAGTCCACAAGGAGTGGATTTCTTGTCCCAAATGAATGAGTTTTGAATGGAATGGATCAGCTACAAATCAGAGGCGAGCTTCCCTTTATCTTGAACACCAAACCAGAAGGATACTTTTCACCTTGCTAAAATGTCCTCTTTCTTCATTTTAGTGGAATCCGAACTGAAATCTTCAAAATTGCATTTGATAGTCAAGATCTTTTTCTTTCCAGTGGCTTATTTTCGCTCCTTTTAGTTGGTTGTTTTCTTCATATTTTGTTGGATGACCTGGCCATTTTTTGGTGGAACAAACTGCTTGGAAATTTCTCCATTTTTTCCGTGGTTGTCTTTGCATTTCATTTGGTACTGGTTTCAAGAAATGGGTGAACATAGCCGATCCCAGTGAGCCAAACAGAACTCTTTTCTGGACCAACAAATACCGTGGCCGACTCCTTCGTTTTGGTTGAAGGAACCTTCCGAAAAAATTCTTTTTTTTTCTAGTTACTGTCTTCTCTCTTTAGGTAGAACAACTGCCCGAAAAAAAATAATCTTTCCGGTGACTTTTTGGTATGGGGCATAATATGGTTAACGTACCGTTTCCCACAGACGACGCCAATCTGTTGACCTCAAAAAATGTTGCCAACAGATGCCGGGCCCACTCGTGCATGTGCAAGCCTTGTCCAACACGCATGTGCCGAAGAACGGTCAGAAAGGCTCCAAAATCCGGGCGTGGGGGGA